ATATTTTAATGTGAGAATCGATTCTAGAACATAAATGATTGGTATCGGAAGAATCAATATTTCAGGATCGATCCGCACATCACTACCACCAGCTGCTGCCAATCAACTACCATCTTCAGCAGGGCTACTTAATGGTGTGGCTGAGCGACAGACAGCGCTGGAGTATTGCAATAAGCCTGGTAGTGTTTTCGAGCCGCTAGTGTTATTGAAGTACTGTCTGATCTACCTACTCATTTTGCTGTCGTGTGTGTATTTACCCAGGGATTGACGGAGGATTGATGGACACAAAGGAAGCACTTGGAGGAGAGACGGGCACTCACTACAACGCACGAGCTTACATGGAAGGAAGGACGCACTATCACTATTGTTGCACATTTGAACTGTTGTCACCTTGCTGCACTGTAAATAAATGCACTGTCTTTATTTCTGAACTCCGCGCCTGAGTCCACTCTTTAACAACCGTGACACTTGCAGGTTTTACACCATCATGTGTAGTGATCTATATATGTGATGCAGGACTAACAAAGAGAGGCAATTTGCATTCAAATTTACACCTACCATGGGCAATTTAGAACCACCATATAACCCCAGCAATTGCTTCTCTTTGGACTATGGGAAGACGTCCGAGTAACCAGAGAGAAACCATGTAAACATGGGGCGAACATGCAAAATCGGTGTCTTTACCAATTAGACTGGTAACCACTGCCAGTCTGTTTGTGAGTAATTCATTTAGTCTGAGTGTAACTGTTTGAAGACAATCTGCCTCCTACTAACGAACCTGTTAAGCTGCCTTGTGATTGAAATTAGTGATCAAAAGATCGTGTTGCACAGTTAAGGTGTTCCACTTATAACCTCTAAGTTACTAGTTGGTCACCACAACTGCTTATTGTATGTATGAGTCAATTGTTAAAGTGTTATTTTCTGTCTAACAGAAATCAGTTTCACTACATTAACTGTTTGACATGTTTTACCTATATCAAAATGAACTATACCTGCTTCTAAATCGAACAAGTCACTGTACCTGGATACTGAAGAGAAAAAGAAAGGGGAAAAAAAAGAAAAAAGACAGTCATTAATTCCTAAACAATCAAAGTAGTTATTGTGTTAAATCTCTTGAATTGAAGCTGAACCTCTGCACTTCAGCCATTATCCACTGTGGTAGGGTGTAGAGACATTTTTTTAAAGGATCAATGGTTAAGGAAGATGATGGAAGATGGTGGAAGAAGATGGATGGATAGATGGCTCACTAATAAACACCTATGAACTTAACTGTATCAGTTGTGTTAGTTGTGTCAGTTGTGTCAGTTGTGTCAGCGGCTAAGATGAACATGCGTATGGCTCAATACATGAGTGGAGCCTAGAAATGCAGAAGAACAGCGACTGATAGAGGCAGCCACATAAGACTGAAAGACCAGACGAAACAGCAAAAATCACTGTTAAGTACAGGATTAAAAACTACAATACAGTTCTGCATTTGCCTGTGAACCCCCTCAGCTAGATCATTAACAAGATTGGCTACAGATAGCAACAACAAAATGGAGCAATTGTAAGCCACCTCCTCTACATACAAACAAATAAATGAATTAATCAATTTAAATTATGTTAATACACTGTTAATGTTTTTAGGAATGGTGAAAGACTATTTAAATATCTAAATTAGGTGATAGTCAAATGTACTGTGTTACTCACCAGACAAGTCAGGGGGGAAACTTCCATAACGAACGTTTTTTCTGTACTGCAGACCAGGAAAAATACCACGACCCCTTCCACTAGCACCAGTAGGTTGTCTTAAAATGGGATGGCCTCTAGAGAGCGGCCTTGTTTGTGATGTTTCGCCTTCCTTTGGCTTATGAAGCAGATCAGTGGTCTCTCCCAGGGGTTTTGTGACCACCATGGATGTGAGAGGGGTCACAAAACTGTACTTCAGTGACAGCTCCAAAGCCTCCTTCTTCACTTTCTCTTTCTCGGGTCCAGATAACTGAAGTCTGTGCCACAATGTATCAAATAAATATGATGGTTGACTTAGAAGTGGAATATGATTAAGTCATTTGTTTTTAAATTAATTCATATAATTTGAAAATATTCCCAGCTAGTCTCTAATCTTTTAAAGGCACTGCTGTATGGGATGCATCTTTAGAAACCTGAAAGATAATGCTAATTAAAAACATAGGTAAAACAGATCAAATAATATACTATCTCGTGCAAGATAAACTGGAGAACTGATATCAGAAGAGTTGTGTCACCAATGGGTTCAGTGATTGTTTTGAACTCATTGGTTTTGTTTTGGCTTTAATTATAGATTGTTAACTTTTTACAAAGTTAACACTCAGCTGGGTTAGGGTTAGTCTTAGGCTTTCCTAGGCTAGACCCCCAATGCTAACCAAGCCTACTGCAGATATGAGTGAGAGAGATAAATATAAAGCCATACTGGTTTGGACGTCGCCCAGATTAACATGGTCCATGTCAGGTGTTGATGAACTAGGGCACCCTGATGAAAAGTGTGCTACTGGAACAAGACGGCATCAGTGGGCAAGAGATTAAAATATGGCGCTGTTGGAATGCTACTACGCAAGTAACCCCAGTGGAAGGAGTTACATGAATAGGATGAGGGACCTATGGAATCTTCAATACCCAGCGTCCACTTTGATGGCGAAACAACTAGAAGCTCAGCGTTCCAACATTTGAAAGAAGGGATTGATCTCATGGCTAGAGATTGATGAGGTGCAAAACACATGCTACTGCAAGGGGAAGGCAAGATGACAGTTCGGGGGGGAGATATCTTCACCCCCAATGTTCTCGCTAAGCTGCGCGTGTGCGCAATTGCGCACTGCTGGCACGGTCTCTACACACAGAAAATCTGTGTTGCGCACAAAAAAATCTAACCTGAATTTAAATTCAATTAATACTTTAACAATTCTGTTTTGCAGTGTTAGTCAGTAAGTGACTAGCTGCTCCCGTATGGGATTAGAACGATACCACCTTATCCCATAGTCCAGCCAATGATGCAATTCACATTCGTATATATGCAGCTTATCAACGTCGTTAACAGGCTGTGACAGCATCCTTATGTGCTGACACCGGTGTTTTAACCAGCAAAGCGGCTGGCTGATGAGGAGTGAAGCCATGTTAATGACAACGTGTACAACCATTGGAGATGTGAGCAGGACAGATGGAACAATTGACGGAAAAAGTGTGGACTTTATACCAGTTTTTAAATTGCGTTGATAGGCCACGTAAAACCAGAGTTATGATAAAAATACATGCAATGTTTGGTTTTCTTCCTGAATTCTATTGTTGTTTATATTTACTATGGGAAGAAATGGTAAAAACGGCGTTTTATAAGGAAAATGTTCGAAAGCACTCTCTGCCTGTGAGCAAAAACAAAACCCAAAAAAACCCCCCACCCTTTCCTATTGGTCGAAAAATGTACCATGTCGACCAATCAAAAAAATGATATGGCAACATGGCATTTAGTTGTTTAGGGAGGGGGGAAGTTTTTGAGTGACGGTGGTGGTTCGAGATGTGAGAGATTTGCCACGTTTAGCGCAAATCTTGTGTAGTTAGTGTGTAGTGTAGTCAATAGCTTTGTTGTGTGTGTCAGAACAATGAGGCGACTGCTGAATGTTACAGGTGTTACAGGAGTGATACATCTCCTGTTGTCAGGCATGCAGGTATCAGACTGTTGTTCTCCTTTATCTCATAGTCATTATTTAAAAACACACCTTGGCTGCATTTTTAGGTAAACAGCTACAAAAAACTTTGTTGTTTGCATAACTCAGTTACTTTTTTGAAGAAGTAACTATATAATTATTTGCCCAACATTGGTCATTATATACTATATTTTGCAGACAGAGAGTTACAGGACTCTCTCCCAGACCACAGACTCATACTCATAATACAAGTCAGAGCTTTATTTTTTAGCCAACTTTTGAATCTGCCAAAAGGTGCAATGAAGATGGTGCCTAGGAAGTACAGCAAGCTGTCCATACCTGAGGTCTTGGAGACTGCCAATGCCAACTTTTGTCCATCTGCTTGAAGAGATACACCAGAGAGATAGAAGGCAGGAGAATAAACCAGCTGTTCTCGACAGAACCAGCCATGGTGTACTCTCAGTGGCAGGGGAACAATATGAGAACAGCACCACCAAGGCTGGAGACGGTGCAATACTGGAATACTGCAATCTAATATAAAAGAATGCAACCTGTAACAGGAATGCTCACTGGCTAGTGGACCTAAGAGCAAAAACAGCAACCTCCCTCAACAGGGACCAGTAACGATTACAGTAGTAGACATCCAAGAAAGGGTCTTCAGTATGAAGAATTGGACAGCACCAGGGCCTGAAATTGTTCACGTCTACTGACTGAAGAAGGTGACTGCACTCTAGAAGCATCTGGCAGCACAAATGAACCAGCTGCGAGTCAATGAGACACACCCAGAATGGCTAACTGAAGGCCGGACAGTCCTGATGCCCAAGGACCACCCAAAAGGGCTGGTCCCATCCAACTACTGACCAATAAACTGCCTCAGTACCAAATGGAAGCTCCTGTCAGGCATCATAGCAGCTAAGATGACTAGGCACATGACTCATGAGTGGGGCACAGAAAGGAATTGGCAAGAATACCAGAGTCGCAAAAAACCACCTACTGGTAGACTGAGCAGGCAGTTGAGATTACAAGACTAGGGTGACCAACCTGTGCACTGGCTGGATTGATTACATGAAGGCCTGTGACTCAATGCCCCACGCCTGGATCCTGGAATGCCTAGAACTATACAAGATCAACAGGACCCTAAGAGCCTTCATCAGTTACTGTGGCGTACATCACTAGAGGACAACTTCAAGCCCATAGCACAGTGCAGGATCTACCAAGGAGATGCTCTGTCCGCACTGCTGTTCTGGATAGGCCTGAAACCCCTCAGTGAAATCATCAGCAACCCTGGGTACAGATATGGAATATGGAATGGAGCAATCAGCCACCTCCTGTATATGGATGAGATCAAGATGAATGCCAAGAGTGGAAGTGACATCGATTCACTAATCCACACCACCAGGATATAAAGCAATGATATCAGAATGGAGAAGTGTACTCCGATCATAACAAAGAGAGGAAAAGTAGTCAGATCTGATGGGATCAAACTACCAGAATGCAATCTTGCAGACATAGAGGACAGCTACAAGTACCTGGGGATCCCACAGGCAAATGGGAACCATGAAGAGGGCACTACGCAAGCTGCAACCACCAAGTACCTGCCGAGGGTCAGGCAAGTCCTGGGGAGTCAGCTGAATGGTAAGAACAAGATCCGGGCTATCAACACCTATGCTCGGCCCATGATTAGGTACCCTGCTGGGATAATAAGCTGGCCAAAGAAGGAGATAGAAGCCACTGACCTCACAATGAGGAAGCTCCTTACCATACATGGATTGTTTCACCCCAAGTCTAGCAGTGTCAGCACCACAATCCAGGATGAGACATCAAACCTCCACAAATACATCAGGTATATGGCCCCAACCGAACACGTGATCAGTGATTACCTCAGGCAGCAGAAACCCAAGAAAGAGGAGGAAGAGGACGAACCATCATGGAAAGAGGTGGAACGTGCACGGTATGTACCACCAGCAAATAGAGGAGGTGGCTGACAACCAAAAATCCTACCAGTGGCTGGACAAAACTGGACTGAAAGACAGCACAGAGGCACTAATCATGGCAGCACAGGAATAAGCTCTGAGCACAGGATCCATTGAGGTTGGGGTCGATTACACCAGGCAAGACCTCAGGTGCAGGATATGTAAAAATGCCCCTGAGACAATCTAGCACATAACAGCAGGGTGTAAGATACTAGCAGGCAGGCCATATATGGAACTCCATAACCAAGTGGCTGGCATAGTGTACATCTGTGCCAAATATGGCCTAGAGGTCCTGAGGTCAAAATGGGAGAGGCACCCAAGGATGGTGGAGAATGACTGAGCTAATATCTTGTAGGACAAAATAGTGATGGCTAACCAAACAGACGGTGGTGGTAGTGGTGGTAGACATAGTGGTGGTTCTTCAAACAGAACAAGACAGTCGTAATGACAGATATAGCGGTTCTGAATGACAGCAGCATCAGGAAGAATAAACACGAGAAGCTTGAGAAATACCAAGGGCTTAGAGAAGATTTTGAGAAGATGTGGAGGGTGAAAGTAACAGTATTCCCAGTGGTAATTGGAGTACTAGGTGTGGCTCCTAAGCTAGGCGAGTGGCTCCATCAGATCCAGGAACAACATTGGAAGTCTCTGTCCAGAAGAGCGCACTTTTTTATTAACATTTAAAGATGTTATCTTAAGCTCAGTGAAATTCTGCAGGTTTTTTTCCTCAATGTGTTCAATTTGCTGTGCATTCAACAATTAATTAATTTCATTTATGCTGCCACATTTTTGAAAGCTGAAGTTTTGATCACATGAGGAAAGATGACATATACAGTATTATACTCACTCTTTGTCTAGAAGCTGTTTAACTGTGAGGTACGCCCAAACCCTCTGGATATGGTCATCAGATACTGTTCCAGTGGATTCCACAGTTTCATTTGGATTTGAGAATATTATTCTTCTATTACTCTGTAACAATTTAAATGCAGTGTAATTCCTGTTGACCTACAAAACGGTTTAAGAAGAGTATTCCTGATGAGTCTTGTGGATTGATTCTTACTGAAATGGCCACAACTTGAGGGGTGAAGGTTTCAATGTTATTATCTGTGATCTGTCCGGCCACCACAATCTCAGAACCATTATAATACTGACTGAAGTTAGTCTGGGTTAGATTGATCCCACCCACATAGATCATTGTCACATCTGTCAGTAGAGGTGTGGCCACCTCTTCATAGAAACCCTGTTGACATACAGTGTGGAAGTCATACAAATCATGCTCATATTTTTTCTTTCAATTCTCAGGAGTTTCAAATCACAATAAAAGAGTATATATAATTGAAATACCTTCAGCTGTAAATCAGCATCAGAGTCTTCATAAATCCGTCGTGCCACACCATTATTTTGCAACGACATTTTCTCGAGGAAATTTAGATTAACATCAAAACCAAAACCGAGACAGTACAGTGGGAATTTGCCTGCAATTGCCTGTTTTGCATTTGACTGGATTTTCTCCAGATTTGTCACCCCTGAAAAGACACAAGACATACCCAGTTCAGCTCAGAAACAATGTAGTCTCATAATTTATAATAAACCAGGACTGTTAATCACAGTAAGCTCACTAACACCTCAATTTCATGAAATATTTGTGTACATTTGTTTACAGATGTGTTTTATCATAACCTGAGGTTGGGTCTCCATCTGTGAGAAGTATAAGGATAGATGCTGAACCTTCTCTGTTATGTGCATTCAGCATACGTGCTCCTTGCAGCACTGCTTCATTTATGTCTGTGGCTGAAATCCAACATCAACAAAAAAAGTTTCAGTACACTGTTCATTGGCCAAATGTTCATATTTCAATAGGGGTGGCCAGTATAAACGGTATATGTTAAAAACTATATGAATTTGGCCAACGGTAGAGATTTTGACTATTTTGCTCTACCGCGATAGCACATGTTGATGGTGTCATCAAGCTGCGCCTGTTTTGGTCAAAAGCATCACAGCAGCTGTAAACAATATTATCTGCAAATTATGCCGGGCAACAGTAATAGCGAAGAGATGAAGCATGTTTTGCAAAATGAGGAAAGCCAAAAACTGTGTTTCCTCCAGTTCCGTACCATTTATTTATTAATGTTAAATTCTCTCGCAGCTGCTCTATTCCCATGTTGTTGCAGTATATTAATCACTAGCCTCGTATTGGGGCTGGATTATCTCAGTTGTTCTCCTGACTGAAGTTTGAAGTTACAGCATCCTGCTATGCGATTGCATTTGTCCCTAACCATCAGGAACCCTCCCGTTAACTTTTATCGAGTGGAAAAAAGTTAGTGTTCATGTTCCAGCTTCACTGTGTTTATGTTATGCTAACAAAGCTGTGTCGCTAGCGATCACGTACCACATCATTATATACCAGCTAGTCCAACTTCAGCAACCCTAAAAAGTCACTGCTGTTTAGTTTTGTGTTTTCCTTTATGTTGGAAGTGATAGCAGAGCTGTACGTTTTAATTTTTTCAGAAATCTCTCAGTCAGAACATGCTATATCATGTTTAGGTGGAAACTAGTAAGATAATTACTTGCTAACTTCTAACTCCATTAAACTGAATAGATTCTGTTTTCATGGATGCCTAGATGTTAAACTTAAGTGTTACACCTGGTAAAGCAGCAACGCTGATGATTTTATTAAAAATGAAAGAATTTTTTAACTCCCAGTGATGCCGCAGTGTTTGTTTGACTTTGGGACCTGAAGTGAACAGTTTTTGACCCAGATTACTCCGTGAGGCTCCAGACTACAGTAGCTGTAATGCTCCAACAATCCATCAAGCAGTGCGGCTTCATAGTTTACCAAAGTCGTACTAAAACATTTTTTGGCAGATTTTTGAGCATCATGTACCACATAAAATTGGTTTGAGGTCAGCAAGCACAACCAGAATTCATATATAAGGCGCACCGGATTATAAGGCACACTGCCAATTTGTGAGAAAATTAAAGGATTTTAAGTGCGCCTTATAGTACGGAAAATACGGTATACAGAAGAAAAGAATATATAGCGATATATATTGTTACTGCACATGCTTCAAATTATACGGCAATATGGATTTTGTGCCATATGGCCCAGCCCTATATTCCAAAATATGTATTCAGTGTAAGATCTCACATCCTCTCTCTTGAATATTGCGTGCAAAGTTTTTCGCACTTTCCAGGTTTTTGCTGTTGGCCTGAACGAGTTCCCGCTTCCAGTAAGAAATCCTGTCATCAAAAGTGATCAGACCAAAGTAATCATCTTCTGCCAGATCATTCAGAATGTGGACTAATGCAATCCTAGTCTGGGTAAGAAAACATAATTTACACACATTTTTGTTAGTTAAAATTTACAAAAAAAAAAAAAAAAAGTATAAAGCAATATAATATATGCAAGAGACCCTTCAAATACTTTACCTGCTCAATTTTTCTGCCATGCATTGAGCCACTTTGATCAATAACAAAGACGACATTTTTTGGTATCCGAGGAAGATCAGATGGTGCAAAATGATGAACAAAGTACCTGTCAGATTTCTAAGGTGGAGTTGGTTAAAAAAAAAAAACTTGATTGGTTATAGGATTATTCAAGAAGCTTTATAGCCCAAATCATACGGTTTGTGTTGCTAAAAGACCAGGGTTTACCTTGATGTGTCCCAGTCCATTATCCCTGTTAACATCATAAACAATAACCAGATCTCCATTCATACCCTGATCTCCACAGCTGTCACACATTTTCTGTTGGTCGACTGTTGGATAGAAATATACCCACGCCTGGAAACAGAGTGAATCACAGAGTTTAGAAACTTCAAAGAGAGCGATGTCAGTGATTTTATTTTCTGCTTTCCGTTTTCGTCTGCTATTTTGTTTGGTGAAAATTTTTAATGAAACATTGCCAGAATTATGGTGCGTACACACCGAACGCAATAGAAGCAACCAAAGAGTCAAGTTTACATGTAAAATCAATGGAGGAGCGCAATGAAGCGCGACTGCGGGTTCCGTGAAAAATCAGAAGCAGATTTCCGTTGCAAAAATGCTTTCGAACAATTAGCGCGACTGATGCGTTTGAAGCGCAAAGTAAAATATGCGCTGCATTTTATGTTGTGCATTTTGGTCATTCGTGCTTATCGCATCTGCCGCTCAAGTTGGAAAAATCTGAACTCCAGCGTCAAGTCGCGCCACAACAACCAATCAGGTGACGAGTGTCAGTGATGCTGTGACTGAGTGAATGGTGTCAAAGCATCAACAGGACATGGATACTGATAAACACCGTGGCTAATCACCCCGAGCTGCATGACACCAGCTGTTTTCTATACAGAGACAGGAATGAAAAATAATTAAACATTAGAAAGAGGTTAAACTATTTAGACAGGAAAGCTCTTAAGAGGTTTGTGGGTAACTCTTAAAAGAGCCATTGTGGCTGCAAAGGCCCCGCTCTCTCTGTCGAGAAGTGAGCCATAAACAGCTTCCTCACCTGGACACCCAGGCCTGATGGATTCACCACAGCACGTCCCACGCCGCTCACATATTATAAACTTTTACTAACCGCAGAGAGATGGACTGGCGCTCTGCAGGTGGGATTGAGCGCCTGTAGTTGGTGTCTAGGCAGAATGCTTGGACCGACGCAGGACAGCAGCTCCTCAAACTGAGTGAGGGACAGACGTTGGTACCGCTGAAAGTGGCCGTCATCCAGATGCAGCTCCTGGAGCAACTGGTGAAAATCACCGAACTGCTCACGCTTGTGGAGGACCTGACGGACCCAGGTACGGTGAGGACGTCCTTTACGCCGCTGCTCTGCTCTCCACAGAAGATAGGGAAGGGAGACTCTCTCTTCAAACGCTAGATCAACAGCTGCCATCTTGCAAACATACCGTCTGACACTTCCTCGCACATTTCCATTTCACGCACGTGAAAATTGCATATTTTAAAGCGCGACCAGTTTGCTTTGGACGCGCTTCGAGGTACGAATGTGCAAGGACCAGCTAGGGGCATGTGACGCTTTTTGGTTGCTTCTATCGCATTCAGTGTGAATGCACCATTACTAATTTATCGCAAATAAACACCACATGACTTTACATACAAAGAGTGTTGGAGAAGCCTAACCTACAGATATGTATTCAAGTACCAAAACTTTAAACCAGAGGTCACTAACAGGTAGACCATGGTCCAGGTTTTGAAAACACACTAGACAATTGAATGTGTGTCAATACCACTCAGCCAATCAACTCTGTGTATAACAGGTGGTAAACAGCGGACTGTACGGTGACAACAGCTTTTGGGCAATTACAAACTGCCCGAAACAGCATTAAGAACTGACCTTTCCACCTTCTGAATACAAATGGCTCCTGAGACAACTTTTTCAGGTAAGTAGTTGAAAGTAGCCTTATGTATATTGACCATGTTTGGCTCCACACAAAAAGCAAGGCAGTTTTGTCCAAAGTGAACATAATCAAACTAATCATCAATGAGCACATCCACATGTGTATGAGAATTTTCAGCAATCATATGCTCAGTTCTATGTTGTGTGACCAAACTTATTTCAAACTGTGTGTTGTGAGAACACTCATGGTTTTTTTTACAATTTTAGAACTGAAAAATTTCTATACCTGTTTATCTGCATGTGTTTTGGTGATGGCATTAGCGAGGGCTTTGGTGCTTAGGCCTCCTTTCACATCGATGAAACTGATGCCAGCTTCCTCGTGAATGTACACATCCACCTGGTATCAAGTAAAATAGAACAAATCAAAAGATCTCATCATGTGCGCTGTTATTTCAGCATTGTTTTCCAAAAAAAAATAATGAACAGATACCAACAAGACAGTCACCTTGAAGTCTCTGACAGGCTGCATGGGTCGAGCATGAATTTGCAGCTCGTACTTGCCATGAGTGCGTTTCATCAGTTCCTCATATGTGAGTTCAAAAGTGACCTTTTTGTGAGCAGCCACAGTTACAGAGGTCTTAAATTCCTCCAGTGTCCTCCCTACAGAACTATAGCAGAAACAATAATCATTTCACTAAATTACATTTTATAGGAGGTTATTGCTAAAATGAGAACATGAGTTTTGAGTAAATTAACTAAAGAGATATTTTGCCACTGAGAAAATATTTGTTTAAATAATTTTAAACAAACAAAGATGCAGAAGAATAGAGTTTGCAAGAAAATATGAGACAGAGAAACAAAACAACTTGTTTTGTGTGACAGATTTTTATATGTGAAATTATAAATGAATGAATTTATATACCTGACAAGTCCAGCACTTTCACCACGGGACACAGCTTCAGAGTACTGCTGCTGAGCTTGCTCCTTAGCTTTCACAACACCATCATAAACCTGGCCATCGATAAACCTGAAGAGGACCAAGAAAAGCCCTGGTGTAAATGCACACACTACTGAGTAACCTGTTATTTGTTTTTTATTGTAGAATTCTTTATTTGCAAAAGTCTCTGAATGGTTACAAATTATTTTAACTTCACACACATTCGAAATTTACTGATGAAGGCATTCTTGGGGATCCGAACATGAAATTCAATTTCCTTTGACTCGTCCATACGATTGGCCACACGGCTTGTGATGACAGTGGTGGCATAACGACTGGTCACTGTGGAGTTGATGTGAAAGCTGTAGATGTCCCAGTCATCCTGAGCAAACACAGGAGGCACATTTTTAAAAAACTGGCTTGGGTGATCTTATTGGTTGACCAAAGGTCAGATGTATTTGAAAAACAATGTGTTGGTGGATGACATCAGTGAAATCTAATTGGTTTAGCTGCAGTAACACCCCATTCTTTTTATTTTTCCTCTAGTTTTAACTATTACTATGGCCCTGATGTCATTGACTGATTTCACTGGTTCATTGCCAGGTGTTTTGAGTTTTTTGGACTTTGAGGTTTTCTTTTTTTGAATTATCTGTTTAATCCTTGGTATGTTTAATGTTTACATTCACTTTTTACATTCTTTTGTGTGTGTCTCCTATATGACATACTTAACTGACATTTTTTATTGTAACAACCAATGATTTATACAGGAAAATAATGACTATTAACAAGGTTGCCCAAACTTTTGCATCCCACTGTATGTATATATGTATATATATGCATTTATTTATTTATTTTCAGCTTCCTTTTTCACTTTATGCTTTAGTGTTGTATTTTTGCAATAACCTAAATAAACAGCTCACTTTTAGTTCCCCCCTGGCCTAGGCAACTCCCTGGAATTGCCATGACCCCCCTGTCTTGGCCCATGGCTGGGCGAAGATGAAAACTGTTTTTGGACCCCATTGTTTTCCTTTTGTTCCATTCATCTTATTAGCCTCTGTATGTCTGCCTTTTTCCTCACACTCCTCGCACTCAGGGCATGACAGTTTTTCACATGAGAAGGGGGGTTAATCTCCTAGACTCTGACTGTGTAAACAGAATTTTCCAAAGTCCAACAAACATTACAGTGTTACATGTTTTTTTTTTTTGTTTTTTTTAAATGGACGAGAATAATTAACTTAATGGAACAGATCCAATTTTGCCTTAACCTAACACTAAACAAAACAATTATAACCCCAATCTGTATGTTAGTTTCATTTCTAATTTGAAGTGTGACTGCTAGTATTAATGTGTAAACTCTTCACAACATTTCTAATACAAGACCATACGCATGCACTCACATGTGACACATATGAAAAGCAAGCACAGACGACACAGAATCAAGAGAATCTTCAAGAGCTCGGTGTTCAATTAACAAAAAGATGTTAAGAAACACACAGAGACAAAATGAGAGTCATCTCAGATATCTTTGAGAGATCTGTTAAACTGAAACATCAGTGGCATTGGTAAGATGAAAACAGAAAGATTCTGTTCTCTTGAAGTGGTGCTGTATCCCTTTTATGTATTATAACCTTACCTTGTTTGGCAGTGTAAAGGCCAAAGCCAGCAGCAGCCCAAAGAGAGCGATTTGCACCACAGTTCTCTCCATGATGCCTCCCACAAGAGTGCAAACACCACAGCTGGAACTGTCTTATGAGCTCGAAACACGGACAGCATTACTGTGTATGTGTGTGGGGGTTTCAAGGGCAAATGGCTTCTTTCCTCTTCCACTGACACAAAACAAAGCTTTACTGGTAATGCTGAGAGTGAAATCTGTATGCTTTACCAGGACTATTACTACAGTTTTTTCAGTGATGCATAATTGATACAGTGTGACATGCAAAACAGTTTTTCCAGATTTAAAGTGAGAGAAACACGAGGCGATTGTTCAAACAGAGGGTCCTCTCTGTGGAGGCTGTGATTTTAATACATGGTTTAAACAGTATTCCAAGAATCATTGACAGAAAATATTTATAGAACACAGTTACAAAAACAATTGTTTTCTTTCTATTTTCCTGAACTATATGACAAAGTTCAAATGAAGGATGTTTGTTTCTCATTTTTCTGATTGTCGTTCTGCTGCTGAATATATTTACATTATATTGAAAATCTTAATTATTGTGAAATAAGAGTCTTCTACAATCAAGAATCAACCCTACATCTCTTAAAAGGGAGTTTTTCCTTCCCACTGTCGCCAAAGTGCTTGCTTATAGGGGGTCATATGATTGTTGGGTTTTTCTCTGTATGTATTATTGTAGGGTCTATCTTACAATATAAAGTGCCCTGACGCGACTGTTGTTGTGATTTGGCACTATATAAATAAAATTGAATTGAACTTAATCTTTATTATTAATTTATTTTCTTTTACGTTTAAGTTATTATAATCAGAACAGGCAGGACTCTGGGATAGGAAAGAGAAATACAAAGACAAGAGAGGTTAGGAAGAAGCTGTTAAAGAGACAACGCGGTCTCGCTCTCCAATTCTTTTTGTCTTGTTAGAGATCACGCAGAGATGTTTCCAAGTTTTACAATATCTTTTTATTACCCATTTCCCTTACAGATGCACCTGAATATCAGCACACTGCATCCTATGCAGTCCTATGCTAAAGGCTGATCTGAAGAATTCCACACAACAGTTACAGGCTACGTCCACACTAGCCCGGATAGATTTGAAAACTGCTTTTTCGTCTGAAAACGCTCCGCGTCAACACTAGCATTTTCAGTCGTTTTCACAGAGTTGTGCGTCCACATTGAAACAGCCGAAAACGCTTACGTTCCAGCTGCGCATGCGTAAAGTGCAAGAAGATTTGGCCTGCCTCATTTCTGTCAGCCATTTACTTATTTTTCTCTGAAACATTGTGGCAACAGGTCGAGGAAAAGCACAGAGTTTTTTAAATGGACTAACAATAAGGTGGAGTTGTTGTTGCGAGTAACACAGAAGTACAAAGTTGCAAAAGCCAGTGAGAATTAAATAATTTGAAGAAAATGTATCTGGAGCATGTACAAACTGATATTAATCTTTAATAGGGCTGTCAAAATTGAGAGCAAACAAAACAGCTGCTGTGTAATGCCCTCTGCTACCTTTGTTTAATTAGGCACATGACTGCATCACATGACTAAAATGCGTCATTGTTTTAGAAAGTCTCCATTTTTTCTCCATTTATAACCTCTGGTCCCACCCCCACCCCCCCACAGTAAACACCCCCACAATGGAAAAACACTAGTACAGTGGCCAGGGGTGCTGACACCCTGCCTCCCATCTCCTTTTAAGGTAGTGTCCCTGGCCATTGGTCTGCCACTCACCCTCAGTAACTCTTGCTACTGTCCTGGGGGTGAAGGTTGATATTCCTCCTGCCCTGCGCCCCCGTTCTTTGTTCCCGTTCCAGGCCTATTTTCTATTTTGTATTCTTACACCCATCAACCTCAACCGATTCGCACTTCAACCTGGTTTGCCTCTTATCTGTAGTTATTTTTATTTAATTTAATAACTGTACAGTGCTCTGTTTATAGTAACCATTGTCCATATGTAAATATGTAAGAAAAATTGTGTATGTTTCTGTTCTGTGTCCTGTGTACTGTTTGTTTGTATATGTGTCTTTCTGGCTGCTGTTACAACCAAATTTCCCCTTGTGGGATTAAAGGATTATTCTATTCTATTCTATTCTATTCTATTCTATTGTATTCTAACCGCCATATTATAATGTTGCAAGCAATCACAAACTACAGTCTCTCTAACTCCAACGTATACCAAGCAATCTATTATTCTCAACAAAGCTCAAGGAAAGCAAGAAGAGAACACAGTACACACTACACAGTAGGGAAACCACAGAATCAACAGCAGCAGCAGCAATTATAATAATATTTTTTTTACCAGTTTATGAAGGAATTTCCAAAACCAGATTTGTGGAAAGTGGCAAAATTTCCAGTTAACTCTGTCAAACTCTTTTTCTGCATCTAGAGACAATATTGTGGTTTCAGTGTTTTTACTACATTAATAGTCTATTAAATTACGTAATCTACGTATTTTTGTTTATGAGTACCTCCCCTTTAATAAACCAGTTAGCTCAAGATGTATTATTTTTGTCTTCTATTTGAGAGAACTTTGCGAAATATTTTGAAGTCTACATTAATAAGGGATATTGGATGACAGCTCGAGGGAAATATAGGGTCTTTGCCTGGTTTTAGCAGGAGACTAATGTCAGCAAAATTCATATTTGGTGGTAGTTTGTCATTTTCTGCAACATTCTGTGGAATACTGGTGCCAGAATTGTCCTGAATTATTTACAGAATTCTGCTGGAAATCCATCTGAACCTGGAGCCTTATTATTGGGCATACTTTTCAGCGCTTCCTGAAATCACTTGATGTTAGCGGTGAATCCAGTGCAACTGCTTGACTGTCTGGTAACTTTGGAAAGGTTACATTGTCAAGAAGCGGATCAATTTCATTTTTAGATGTGTTTATGAATATAAAGATGAATAGAATGTTTTATAAAAATCCCTAAAAATATTTTTTATTCTTTCAGGCTAATATACTGTGTACCCAGATAAGTATTTAACATCTTATGTATTTTGTTAGGTATTTCCTGTTCCTAGCGGGACACGTAGGCTTCTTCTAAGGATTTTGTGTTTTTTTCAAATTCCAGAATATTTTTGTGTTCTCCTTTCTTGTTATGGAATGAGAAATACATTTTTTATCTATCATCACAGCTTTCCCTGCTTACCAGAGAACAGATGCCGATGTTCCAACCAGGTCATTATAGTCTAAATGTAAAGTCTACCCCTTTTTTAAAAAAATATTTAATAAATTCTTCATCTTTGAGCAATGATGCATTAAATCTCCAGTTTTTACTTGGCGGAATGTTCTTCTTATGTATTAGTATTAAAGATACAGGAGCATGATAGCTGACAGCTGTAGGATGCATCTCAGTGTCTGAAATGTTACTCAACAGTGAGCTGCTGACTAGGAAATAAGTCCAAAGTTGAGGTTGCCCCCATGAACAAATGAGCAATCTAGGTGTTCAGAGAGTGCAGTATAAAAAAGTGTGGAAGAATGAGGGGTCATCAACATTATGGCCATATATACTTACAATGCATAATTTTTTTGTTAAGTATTGATAATTTAATTATTAGAAATTTACCCTCTGGATCTATAACTGTATTGAGTACTATCTACTATGTCTAGAGTTCTAGCAGGCTGAGAACACATTAGGAAATGTAGGTGTCTTAAGTTAATTTGTAGCTGTGACAGGTCTATGAGTCTCTTGTAATAAAATGACATCTGCCTGTAGTTTTTTAAGCTGGTTAAATATCTTTAACCTCTTTTCTCTAGAGGCAGCTCTATGCCAGCTGATGTGCACCATATCAACCGGGATGACATCTCGGGAGCCTCCTTGGATGTGTAAACAAACTTATATCTTTAAAAGAAAAATATGCTGTCCTCACTAAGGTTTGTTGCAGGCAACATAATTTCAGCTATACAGCTAGCTTAACATTCTTTATTCCCAGCACTTCATCCTCCAAGAAACAGGCCGCTTGTTGTGTTTGGCAGGATTTAATGATGAAAATAAATTCTCTCTCTCTCTTTTTTGTAAAACTGTACAAAGAAAAGGAATACAAAATACACAATGAAGACATGTTCCATTACACTGGGAGACTAACAATGCTCTAGTGAAAGATACATGACCACAGATGAAGCATCTGCTGAAAAAATACAAGCATCTACCTGCCTTCATATGCTTTAACTCAAAATAGTGTCAAAACTTACTAATACACATTAAATGTACAGGAACTTATTGATGAAGTGAATATTGTGGACTTTAACACCAGGATTGCAGAGATTGCCATCAGATTACAAATTTATGAAGGGGACGACTTGTGATGACAGTGGTGGCATAACAACTGGTCACTGCGGATTTTATTTGAAAGCTGTAGATGTCCCAGTCATCCTGAGAAAAAACGACAGGCTTAACCAATCTCATTGACTGGTTTCAGTGGAATTTCATTGGTCTCACTGCAAAAACCTTCAAATTATTTTTCATCTAGTCTTCATGGCACACACGCAAAAGAGCATGACACTCACTTACATTTATTTGCTGAAGACCAACTTTTTATGCATCAGAAGGGGAGTTGTTAGGAACATCCAACACATGTTTCCATAGTTCAAACAACCAAACAAGCCAATTTTACTTTAACCAATCAACACCATCATCAAATAACAAGCCTGAACAATTAAAATGAGATCTGTGATTGTGGATGCACAGAAAGGATAAGGAAGACATACAAACACATACAGTTAGAAATTCTTCACTTCATGGGACATTACATTATTTCATATTGCTTAGCAGAATACTTCATCTTACCCCAATCCTTCTTTTTATCTCCAAACTAATGCACAACTGCCAGAGTTAATGTGTCAGCTGACTTGTACACAAACACCACACATGAAAAACATGAAATAATCCTGAGAATAGTCATGAGAACCTTCAACCCACAGAGTTTGGTGTTGAACTGACAGAAAGATGCTGAGACGCAAAATACTCAATCACAAACCTCAGATATCTCATTATTTGTGAAATATGAATTGCAGAGGTACATAAAAAGTGTGTTTTGTTTTCTTTTGTTTTTGGCTTTTAAACTATTTATTTAACTATTTATATTTAATTTTTAATTATGGATCCTTAAAGTGGTGCTATGGCCATTTATGCATTTTGACCCTGTTTGGCAGTGTGGAAGCCAAAGCAGCTGCAGCCCAATGAGGGTGAACTGCACCACAGTTCTCCCCATGATGCCTCCTAGCAGAGTACAAACACAGAAGAAACTGTCTTTTGAAGTCAAACAAGGACAAGATTATTGTGTACATATTTTTTTTAACGG